ATCACAAGTTACTCAAAATTTTCTTTTTTTATTAATTAGTTAATTAGTATAGATATTCTATTATTTTTGACATAATGTATTAACTTCAAGCGGCTTGCTGCCAATATGATCATGTTTAGTTTCAATAGAATTAAATAATTGATATATTTCCGTTTCTGGTTTTAGCGCGATGATGTCGCATATCTACCTAATTATTTATACCAAAATTTTACAAAGAAAATTTTTATTAGTGCACAGATGACGGTAGTTTCATGGATTGAATTTAGAGTCATAAGCGATTTGTATATTTTACTTTTTTTACGTTACATCTGATTGTGAAATCTGATTGGCTCCGATAATGAATAAATAGTACAGCCAATCAGAAGTGTGGGGAAATTAGTAAACTCGTAAAATATTTACTTGGTTTGATTACGTAGAGCAATATTTAGAAAAATTGTCTTGCAACATTTTTTTTTTTGTTTAATGTTAAGACATCATTTCGTCTTCTTTGTCGGTTGATCCGCGTTGATATATAACACATTTTGACTTTCACAAATATGGTAAAGCCTAATAATAGGTGTAACAGCATTTATAAGAAATTTCGACTTTTAGAAATTTAAGGAATTTATTGTTTACTTAAATAATTTAATAAGTAAAAATTAATAATCTCATAAATTAATTTTTAATAAACAATAGCGTAGCGATAAGGACCAATAATAATTAGCGGAATCAATGTAGATATTAATTTTATATTAATTAAAAATAGAACAGCTAATTAGATTCATTGAATAAATTATATACATGCTATCACTATGATTGAATTTGAATTTGAACACAAAAATTTAACTTGCATTTATCATTATTATTCAGTTAATTATTATTTATTATTTAGTTAATTATTAATTATTATTATTATTATTAACAAAAATAATAAAGGACTTTTGTATATAAAAGAAACTAAATTTGACGATGTATACAACATTCTGATTTCTCCAAAGAAATATAAAGAATTCATTTACTAAAAAAAAAAAAAGAAACAAAAAAAGAAAAACTCAGGTTTTAACGATATAAAGTATACAATGGTAAGTATTCAATTTTTAGAATGGAATATCAAAACATGTCATTAGAGTGTCCAGGGGGCTGCTGCTTTAACCGAAAATTTCTGCTGCGATTACCATTAAATTTGCGGATTCTGCGGCGACATATAAATAGTACATTAGATTTTTATTAATATTGTTACTATTGCTTGGGAGAGCGTTATGATAATGCAGGGTTTAGCTCCAATAGTAAACTTGCGGGCCAAACTGACATAATGCCCGCTAAATTATTTCTAATGCGATCGTGCGCATGAAATCTGACATTTTCCCATCTTTATATGCAATACTCCTAAATTCTATTTATGGTCAATTTGGAAATCAATATTCAATCATCTGTGATAATGATATATCAGCTGCTATTACTACGTATGCAAGACAATATATTAAGATGGCTCAAGAATATATGAAGAATAAAGAGATTTCAGAATATGAGATATATACATTAGTTAATGGTTTTAAATTAACTGATAGAGAGTTTTCTGAAATAAAAGTAAAGAAATTTATATGGAAATATACTGATACAGATTCCATTTTCTTCGAGTTTTCAAATCATATCATAAATGAGATAATTAAAAAATATGAATCTAGATTGTTAGATAGTAATTTAACATTAGAAGAATATCAAAAAGTAATATATGATATTCAAGAAGAAATGGTAATTTTAACTTATAATGAAGGTTTGAAATTGCAAGATGAAATAAATATATGGATGGCTAATGAAATCGGATCACCAAAGATAGTGATGGAATTAGAAAAAGTTATTCTGAATCCGATATATTTTGCGAAAAAGAAATATATCAGATTAAAGTTTTTGAAACCAAAATATTTTTATGATGATGATTGGAAAGATTTAGATAAACATATAAAGGAAAAATTAAACGTGAAGTTAGTAACTGAAGAAATCAGGAAAAATTATATAAAAAATACTGATGAATATATTTTGTTAGCAAATGGAGTAAAATTTAGTAATATGTTGTTTAAAGGTATTGATTTAGTTAGAAGAAATTCTACATTGATATATCGTGTGATGTTAAAGAAACTATTTTATAGTATATACAATTACAAAGAATATGCCATGTATCTTTATGGATTAAATTTCACAAAAATAGAACAATATCAAGATTTTTTCAATGGATTAAATGAGGAATATTCTTGGTCTGAATACATAAGCAAAAAAAGAGTTGAGGATTTCATTAAATATTTAAATGGTAAAGAATCTGAGATGAATTTAGAGTTTTTTGAGCAAAATGGTAAGAATAATGAAGATGAAGATGGTGAAATGACAATTATCGAAATACTTGATCATAAGAGTTATAAAAATGGTTATTGGAAGATGATAGAAGGAGAGATTGTTCTTTACGAAATTCAATACGAGATTATTAGAGATAAATATGGAAGAGAAAAAAGAGAAAAAATAATAGAATTTTCAAAGATTAAAAATAAAGACTTAAAAAGGATCAATTTCAATAAGAGAAGAGAGGGTCAGATAGATTGGGAGAGATGTGATGAAGATTTTGTATTTTTTAAAGATAAAGTAGATGAAATAGAAATAGATGAAATGGAAATAGATGAAATAGACGAGTCAGAAAAATCTAAAAATCCAGTTAAAAAATATAGAGAAACAGTACTAAAACAAGCGAATGATGAGACGAAATCAATGGTTAAAAATTTTGTTGCTTATATGAAGAAGATGGGTATTGAAGTTCCAAAACCACGTTTTTTATATTATATATTGTATAAACATGGTGTGAAGGAAGTTTATAAACGCATGGTTTTGAAAGATAATTATAATCCAAAAAAGGATAGAATTGACAAGTTTCATTATTTAAAAAGTATCAAACCTAATTTGGCAGTTTTGATGGGAGTTTCTGAGAAAGAGGCAGAAAAATGGCTTATTAATATGAGTGATAAATATACGAATAAGAGACTTGATGAAGGTTTAGATTTACCAGATAATAAAGGGATAAAAAGAAAAAAAAAAGGATTTGATATTTTGGATATTAATTCTAGAAAAAAAAATCAAAGTAAATGAAAAATTAAAAAGAAAGGCAGAAGATAATTTAATTCCTATTACAAATTATTTTAAACGAAAGAAAAAAAATGATGATGATGATGATCCGTTTGAATGAGAATTATTAATAATGTATATATTTTTTATTAGATTTAATATATTTTAATTAATAATATAATAAAATTATTCTTTTTCAATTACATCAATATTATCAATATTTAAATTTAAATTTTCTAATAAACTATTATCGTTGATTAAAATTGATTTGAAATATTCATCAATTTCATCAGAAGTTTTGTTATATTTTATATAATTAATGATAGTATTATTGATATTATTAAGATGATCATAAACCATGCTATAAATTTTATCTACTATTTTTCTCATTGTATATTCTGTTATGTTGTTTTTAAGAGTGAGAAAAGTATTGGAATTCATTTGTTGATTTTCTAATTCATTATTTTGTTTTTTCAATTCTTCGTTTTGTTTTTGTAGATCCAATATGATTCTATCATCATTTTCTCCTTTTTTTTCTTTTAATGATTTTATTTCGTTGGATAAAGTTATTATCTGTTCTTTTAGATTACTTATTTCATCTTTATAGTCTTCGTTTTTCTTTGTTAATTCGTTAATTGTTTTTTCTTTTATATTCATTAAATAATCCAATGATTGTTTTATATCTCCTATTCCTTTGATTTCAGAGATATTTTCATTTTCTTTTGATTTTTTTTTAGAATTAGTAGCAGTAGTAATTTTACCTTTAATTGATATTAGTTAGAATATTGAATTGAAAAAAAAAAATGATTCGATATATCAATACATACTATTAATTGAAAGATATTATTAATATTTTTTTTAATTATGAATAATATATTTTTAGTTACATACTGTTTTTTCTTATTTTCATTTTCGTCAGTATCCATTTTTTTAATTAAAAATTATTTTTTTTTTCATGTTTATTATTAATATATGAAAAGTTAATTAATAATTAATTTATCTATTTAAATGTAATGTTTTATGATAATAATGAAATACAAAAAAAAACAAAATGTCTGAAGTAAAACAAGAAAAATATTATCTTGATCCTTATACAGGAAAATCATATGATAAACATCAATTTGGTACTGTATTATATCATAATCATAAAAAAGTTCTTGATGATCAATTAAATATTCAAGAGTTTAATGATGGACTCGAAGAGAAAAAAAAGAAGTATGAAAAAATTAATGTATATCTTGTTGATCTTAAACGTAAAATTAAGAATGAACAAAATGAAATTGTTTATAAGTGTTATGTTATTGCTGGAGACAAATTTGGAAAAAAATTTTTACAATTAGATTTTAAAACAGATAATTCATTTAGAGCAATGTTAGAATTTTTATATCATCTTGCGACTAAAGATGACTTTAAAGGAAAATGTATTAATGTAATTTGTAAAAATGAAAGGTTTAGATTAATAGTTAAATATGGAATCGAACGATGGATTGAAGCTGAATACAAATTAAATAATTATATAATTAAAATGATAAAAGACGATGATGGAAATGTAATAGTAACATCATTAGAAGAAAAACAAGATATTGAATATGCATCAATTATTAAAGATTTAGATAAAATCATAAAAAAAATTGAAGTTATGTTTGATGCAGAATTGAATATATCTAATTTGAGAATAGCTGGTGTTTTTAGTACTTTATCATCAAAAATTAAAAGAAAATAATTACATTTATATTTAATAATATTTTTATTTATTTTTATTAGTATATATTTATAATATATTTATTTTTATTTAATTTTATATTTTAATAAAATGAATTTTTAAAAAAAAATATTTTTCTATGATTTGAAAATTTTATTTAATATTTTATTTAATGGTCCAGTTGATGATTCTTCTTGTATATCTATATTTGGAGTTAACGGTCTACTAGATATTTCTATACTCATTCTACTTCCTGGTCTTGATGATTCTTCCAATCTAGATATGATTATTGGAGATGGTGATCTAGAACTATCTTCAGAATTTTGTATTCTTATTTTAATATTTTCATTTAGAGAAACACCTGGAGCAATTTCTTCTTTTCTTATTATTTGAATTCCTCTTTCCTGATTTTCCTTTATTTTTTTTCAGTTTCTTCTGCAAATTCTATAGGTGTCATTACTTTTCTTTTTCCTTTATCAATTTCAGTATCATATAAATCATCATCAGAATCAGAATAATTTATATCTGAAACTAAACTAATTTGAGAAGGACTTCTTTGAATTTTTTGTATTATTTCTACACTTTCTTTAGAATTCTTATAATTATTAGAATCAGAATCATATTCGTCATCAGAATTATATTTTCTTTTTTTTCTTTTATGTAATACACTTTTTGTTTCGTATGTTAAACTACCACTACCTCTAGGTTCATATATAGCACTACCTAGTTCTTCACTGGTTATTGAAGAATGTATTCTTAAGTCAGTCATAACATCATTTTCTGTTCCAGAAGTAATTTGTTTTTGTATATTTAGATTATTTTCAACATTATTTAGAAAATCATTTATTATAACATTATTTCTGAGAGATTGGATTTGTGAACTACCTATTATTCTTTCTTGAATATTAAAATTTTCATATTCTAATCTTAAATTTCTTCCATAATCTATAATAACATTTTTTGGTTTTTCTGGTTGTGATTCAATAAATCTTTTTATTATTTGTCTTTCATTTTCTTTGAGTCGATTATTTATAAAATCTTGCATATTTCTTTGAAAATTTGTAAATAATATATCGAACTGTGTATGATCACCTTCAATTAGATTTCTCATATTTCTTAATATATTATCTTGAGTGTTCATATGTGTATTTAAAATATTTTCCATATTTATTAATCTATTAAATAAGTTATCATTTCTTATGTTTCTTATAGTATTATCAACATCACTAATTCTCCCCTCTACTGTATTAATAGATTTACCAAGTTGTATATTTGAAGTTTCGAGATTGCCTAATCTTTGATTAAGAGTATCAAGTAAAGTATTTCTAAGATGTGTTCTACTATTAATTAGATTCATATCAGTATTGATTTTATCGAATCTATTATTGATATTTTGATTTATATCATTGAATTTTGCATTTATATTAGTATTGATTCTGTTTAAAAAGTTATTATTAAGATAATTATCCAAAGTATTAAATCTTGGTTGTATTCCTTGATCTAGGTTATTAAATCTATTATTTGTATTAGTTAATATATTATTTAAATTATTATTTATATTATGATCTAAAATATCAAATCTATTATTTATATTTATAAATCTTTGTTTTAATCCAGTAATTTGTTTTATCATATTTAGATTTGATTTTGCTTGTTGATTTTGTTGATTTAATATATTTCTGTTCATTCTATCTATTATAGTTTCTAATTGTATTTCTGATTGTTTTAGAAAATTATACAATCTTTGATCATGAGCTTGAAGTTGATTTTGTAAATTTTGAATGGGTTGTTGTATTCCTATTCCATTAACAGGAGGAGCTAATCTATCTCCTAAAGGTATAAGAGGTGGAGGTAAATTATCTGGTATTCTATTATTTAGAGGATTTGGTACATGAGGAGGTGGTGGAGGTCTAGGTCCACGTGGATGATTTGGAGGAGGATGGGGTAATCTACCGTTAGGTATTTTTGATAATGGAGGTCTAGGAGGGCGTCCAATCCCTACATTTGGTGGCATTGGTATATTGTTTTCTAGATGCCATAATCTTAATTCTCTCGTAGATTTTATTATTCTTGGATTTATACATGGTTGTACTCTACCATTTTGATATGGGCATCGAGAGTCATTTCGATCATGATTTTCACCACCACAACAACCACATGCAGCAATATAATTTGGTATTTTAGGTCTTCTAGGTATTTTTGGTATTCTTTTAGGTCTATTGATAAAAATAGGTTGTGGTTGCTGTGGTACATTTACAAAAAAATATGGTTGTGGTTGATTTACATATTGATATGGCCATTGATAAGGATTAAAATAAAATTGGATTTGGCATTTGACAAATGATAATGATAAAAAAAATAATATTGATAATTTTATTGAATACATTTAATAAGATAAAAGATTTTGATTTTTTAACATGAAAAGTGGAATTCGTTTAGATCTCATATTATATTTTTCTTTGAATTTTTTTATTCTATTTTTGATCATATTTTGTTGTTCTAGGTAAATACATCTATGAACACCATCTCTTTGAGTTGCAATATAATCTGGACAAGATCTATGATTGTGTCCAATTTCTCCACAACAACGACAGAATGATAGATTTTTTTTTGGATTTTCAAAATATTTTTTTACACTTTTTCTTATTCTTCCAACATTTAATAAATGTTGTCTAATACCAAATAAAGGACAAGGTGTCATTGGAATTATATTACCTCTAGCATCAGTTCTTTGAGGGTAGTGTCTATGTCCTAAAGCACCACATATACTACATGTTTTTCCTTGATTAGGACGCATTTTGATTGTTTTATATTGTGACCAAGGTATTTTTTGATTTTTAATGTTTAAATTTTGATTAAATAAATTTTGAGGTACTAGAGCGTTATTTTGCCAAGGTATAAGAGCATTATTGAAAGGATTTATGTTTTCTTGTTTTACAAGTAATAATGGACATGATTTTCTGTTATGACCTATTTCTCTACATATTCCACATCTTGCTTCAGATTCGAATATTAAAAGGTTTATTAGTAATAATACTAATAAAAATTTCCAAAGTTTTTCCCTGGACATCTTTTGTTAGATACGATATGAGATCTACTTCCACAGATTCCACAATGACGAACTTTTTGATTAGATTGATGATTTGGACAAGGTTTTTTTTTACATGAAACAGCGTTATGTCCTTGTAAACCACAGCATCCACAAGCACAAAATGAGTTATTTATTAATATGGATAAAAATAATAATAATGATAACAGGTATATGAATTTCATGATTTAAAGGAAAGAAAAATAAGGGTTGTTTAAATATTTTATACTATTTTATCTTTTATTAAATAAACTATTTTTTTAAATTCATTGTTGAAGAATAAATCCATTTTATCTTTTTCGTTTTTTTCATCTTCTCTTTTTTTACGTGTTTTTTCACTTTCTTGTATGTAAACATCAGAGATTAATTTCATAGAATTATGCATTTCTTCTTCGTCGTTTATTATTCTGGTTTTTTTAATAAAAAAATTTGTACGGATAAATTCTAAAAAATTATTTAAATTATTTTTTACATTATCATTATCTATATCTTTTTCGATACGTTTTTCCCATATGTCAAATTGTTGTTTAACATTCAATCTTTTCCTTTTGATCTTCTGTATTTTTGATTTGAATTTCTAGAAGTTACTTTTATTTCTGTAGGGTATTTAGTAGTTTTTGTATGATATTCGATGATTTTTAAACCTTCGACTAAACTTTCAGGTTCTTCATCTATATTTAAATTTTCAAATATTCCTTTCAGGAAAATAATTGATTCTTCAATTATTTCTTCAAATGTGTTATTTTGTTCTATCAGATTATTTGTGTTTTGATTTATTTTTTCATATTTTTTTGTGTTAGATGTATTTTCTTTTATTAATGCAGAAAAATCTCTATGTAAACTATTGAATACCCCAGATTTTTTATAATTTTTAGTATATTCTAACCATTTTTTAATTTCTTTTATCCGATCTGAAGATAAGAAATCTTCTGATTGAATTTCCTCATCAGTGGAAGAATCCATTTAAAATTTCTATTCTAAAATTTTGTAGTCCCTCGGTTTTATATCCGTATTTTGTGAGAAATTCATCATTTATTATTTTTATTTCGTTATCAAAATGTTTATTATCTTCAAATAATGCAAGATTATCCTTTTCTTTTCTCATTGAATTTAAGAGACATTCATAATAATTTTCATTATATTCGATATATTTTGTTTCTATTTTTTTTTTAGTATCAATTACTTTTTTGTTATTAATGAATTTCTCACTATAATCTAATGAAATATCATTATTTAATTTATAGTTAAGATATTTTTTGTAATTTTCATAATTTGAAATGATGAACTTATTTGTGATGATTAATTTTTTCCAATTTTTTTCATTTTCTAATATTTTATTATTTTTCGATTCGAAATTTTTAGATTTTGAAACATAATCGTTGATCGCATCTTCTAATTCATGATCTATGAATTTTTTAAATATCGTATTTAAATCACGATTTTTTAGATATTCTTGTTTTAATTTATGGAGTATTAGATGTACTATGTTTGTTTTATGTGTAGTGAAAAATGTTTTTTTATCGATTAGTAATGATAATTCATCATATAAATCATTCATATGTTTATTTATTTCGTTAGGTATGATGTCATTGATTAAGATATCTTTTTGTAATTGATTTAAAATATTATCATTTCTAATTTCGTGATATATTGTTTTTCGATCAGTTCTTACTAAATTTTCAATTATTAATTCATCTATTATTCTTTTTTCATAATCTAAAAATTTTAAGGTTCGTGTTATTTCATCATTTCTTAATTTTTCCAAAATTTTTTTTTCATTTTCGAGTGAAAATTGGTCAATGATAATTTTGTAATGATTTTTTAATTTATCTAATAAATCATCGTTCCATTTGTTAATTTTCATGAATTCATTGTATAATTCCAAGAATTTTTCTTTATTTTCTAAAGAATTTAATAATTCATCCTTTAGATCGTTTGGAAGATGTGATTTTATTTTTTTCTTATTGAAATTATTAAAATCGTAAATATCAGAAATTTTTATTATTTCTTCGAGTATTTTTTCATATTCTAAAACATATTGGTATCTAATATTTCTTATACTATGTAGTTTTTTTTTAGTTTCATTACTAAAACATTTTTTATTTTTGATAATGTTATATATTTTGTTGTTTAAGTTAAGAGATATCTTTTCTGTTTCTATTATTTTTTTTACATCATCAAATAATTTATTTATTTTTGATATTTTTTCATTTTTTTTCTTTTCTAATAATTGTAATAGGTTTTCAGGAAAATCATCGATATCTATTTGATTAGTAATATAATTATTTAATTGAAAAAGTTCTATTATGCATTCATTTTTTATATTATCAGATATTCTATTATAGATTTCCAAATATTCTAAATATTTTTTACGAATATCTTGGATGATAGAATATTCTGATCCTAATTTATTTTGATTTTCTTGTATTATTTTATCATAGTAATTTAGATCTAAAAGTTTATCTTTGTTTATTTCATTTATTATTTGAAATTTTAACGAATCAAATAATGAATTACTAGATAATGATGATTCATCAAAAATATTTTTTTTTTTATAATTGAATAATAAATTTGAATCAAATATATAATCATATATTTTTTTAATATATGTATATTTTTTATTATTTATTTTTTTTTTTGATTTATCGTTTATGATTTTCCATATGACTATACCAAAATTATAAATATCAGAATCTATATCTAAATCAAATATATTTTTACGATGTTTATATATTGGTATTTTATAATGATGTGGAATATATATGTTAATACAATTAATTGGTAAAATATCAAGACTTGATTGTGCTAAACAAGTATGTGAAACCATTTTTTTATTTTGATAATGAAAAAAAAGGTTTTGTCAATAAGAATGAATAGATAATTAATTTATGTTTTTTTTGTATTTTATTATATTTTTTTTGATTTGAATTTTTTTTTTCAAAGGATAGAATAGGACAAGTTGTGTTATCTATGTTATTATTATTTATAATATTTATATTTTTATTGTTTATGATATCATGTTTTTGTTTAGGTTTATTTATAATATGATTAATTTTTGTTTTTTCAATATTTTTAGATAATGAATTATACAATAAATTTAATTTTTTAATTTTATTCATGTTTGTATTATGATATTCATGATTGAAAAAATAATTAATAATTATTATATTTGAATAATAATATTCTTTAGAGTTTGTATATGAAATTAATAAAATTAAAATGAAAAAAATAATCGTTTTCATGTTATTATTATTAATTTTTATTTTTTATAAAATCCGATATTGGATACATAAGTAATTTTATTTGAATTTTGAATACAAATTTCACAAAATCTAGATTTTTGATCATTCTTATCGATAATATCAAATACTTGTTTCATTATTCTATTACAATTTTCACATCTAAACATTGTTGGAAATCCATCTTTATCTAAATATTTTCCGTTATAATATATAGATTTTTTATCTAGAATAGTTTTTTTGGTACTTTGTCCTTCTTTGTTTGTAATAGTTATAGAATAATCCTTTTGTAGTTCACCATCAATGATTTTTCTGAGAATATCTATTTTCATTTCATTAAAGAATTTGAACCATTCAATGTGATTTTTATAATTATTTATTTCTTTAGGTTTATATTTTATTTTGTTGATATTTATTTTTTCTATTAATACACTTTTTACTATTCCTTTTATTTCATTAATCATATTATTTTTTTTATCATCAGGTATAGTATCAGTTTTTCCAGGTGGTAGATCCCATACTTTTTCTATTAATGAATTTTTAGATTCTATTGAAACTTTTGGATTATTAATAAGATCAACAGCTCTTAATTTTGTTTTAATGATCAAGATTTGTATATTCTTTATATTTTCAAGGTCTAAATCAGGTGGAGGTAATCTACCTTCAGCATGTAAAGTCCAAAGATTATCATCTTTTACATTTGGTTCAGGTAAGTTATCGTACGTTGGACAAAATTCTCTTTTACTAACAGTTACTTTAGGGTTTGCTTTCATACCAATCATTACAGCTTCCATAGGACGATTTTTTTTGTAAGGAAGTGCTATGGATGCCCATAATAAATTTTGATATTTATGATCTGTAGTTGATGCTGTGAATGGATAACCTTGTGAATTAAGTTCTTTCATTGGTTCTTCACTTGCGAGAAGCATTATCCCACTTATTATATGATATACTATATCTTTAGGAGGTGTCAATTCTTTTAGTTTTTGTGTTGTTAAGAAAGCTTTCCTAGGTGTAAGACGACCAACATGACCAATTTGTTGAATCATGCTAGCAACTGATAAGAATTGAATTTTGGGTTCATCATAAATCCATCTACCTGCACCAGATCCTTTTTCTAATTTTTGTAATTGTGTTTGACCAGTTAATATTACGTTATCAATAGCAGGACTGAATCCCATTTCATGGTTTATATTTGCTATGAAAAGAGAACCAGGTGGCATTCCTTCAGTGATACCAGTTACTGCAGAAGAATTTGAGCTATCAAATATTACAAATGGTATATCACTTTTTTCCAACATTTCAAATTGTTTTGGTGTCAATCCTGATTTCAGTAATGGTTCAGCATTTTTGTCTTCTTCACCAGTTGTTTTTCTAGGATATACATTTGCAGTTGTTCTGAAGAATATTTGTGTTTTTTCATTTTCCCAATTAGTTTGATTATCAAATTTAGTTAATGAATAAACATCTCTAGGTTTAGAGGTTGATATAGAGAAATTTTTTTTGGGAAATGTTGCGCTCATCAGTAAAACATTATAACCCATTCTAATGATTAATGGTTGCACAACTTGATAACTTGTATTCGGAAAATGAGCTTCATCAAAGATGATTATGGTATTTTCTTTATCAATCAATTTTTCTTTGATATCGATTAATACTTTATCAAAGTTATTATGAATTTTTTTAGTGTCTTTTAATTCTTTAATTTTTACTTTACCACATGCTATGTATCTAACTAGATGATGTAATTGTAATATAGATAATGTCGATTTACCATCTTCACCACTTGATTCTTTTTTGTTTTCTTTGTTTCCATTTATCCATGAAGCAAGTTCACCATTTTTAACTGTGTAAGGTAATTCTCCTTCTTTTCCATGTATGACGCATTTATAAGAAACACCACTAACATATTGTAACCAAGTATTGTGATGATTTTCAGCATCTGCAGCTAATTCTTCATTGGGTGTGATTAAGATAATATGTTTTCCAGGAAATATACATGTTAACAAACATCTTACTAATTTAGTTGTTTTACCACCACCAGTTAAAATAGGTAAGATTCCAGGACTATCTACATTAGGTATTTTACCTTCAGGGCTATCTTTTACTTTAGCAAAATAGTTGGGATTGTAACTACCATCATCGTTTTTTAATTTTTCTGGATCAAAATCTATGAGGTTGAAAACATAAGGTAATAGATATGCTCCAGCTAATGATTTGTCAAGTTTTTTTTCTTCTTCTATAACATTGGAACCATTTATTCCATTTTTTAAGATTTCTTCATTAATATTTCCAGTAAATTTATTATTTTTTATTTCAGCTACTTTTATTTGTTTTTTAGGTTTATCTTTTAACGTGTATCCCATTAATTTATCTGTACCAGGCTCAATTTCTTCTCCTTTCAACCATTTATCGAGATTTTTTTCCTTAAGATTTTCATCACCTTTTCTTTTTAAGAAATTTCCTAAAAATTCATTGAGGAATTCGGGTATAACTTTATTTTTCCATTTATCAAATATTACTTCTTGAGTTTCATTAATTGATTTTAATATTTTTTGATATTCATTTGGATCTAAACCATCATTATCGAATTCATTATTAGGTTCATTGATTCTGTATCTAAAGGTATTTCGTTTATCTGATATTGCTTTTTTAAGATCATTTTGTTTCACACCACGTGGTAAAAAATTATCATTTAAGTTATCTATTTTTATTTTTTGATAATCTTCAGGTAAAGATTTAAAAGTAGTTTTATCATCATTAAGTATATCTTCGAGTATATCCAATGATGAATCTAATTCAGATTTTTTAATTTCTAAAACATTAATTTTTTTAAATTCACGATATTTTACACATTTATTTATTATTTGATAATTATTCCATCCATTATTAATTGCGATTTTGCATTGATCAATATTGAGACCAGAAAAAAACTATTTACTTTCATCAGTTTTAGGAATATTTTTTTCATTAAAGAACTTTTTCCATTCACTTTTTTTATACATTATTTTTATTTATGAATAATGATACAAGATAAGCAAGATATTTATATATTTTCTTGTTCAAGTTCTAATTGTTTTCTTCTATCTTCTCTCATTTCATGTAAAAATGCTTTGGTATTTGTTTTTTCGAGATAATTTTCATTCAATTCTTCAATGTTACGATAGATATTATTGTAAAATTCATCTGTTAATAGATTTGAGTCTTTACAATTTCCTATAGCTGTCATTATTTCTAAATAAAATTCATTTTCCTTTTCTGTAATTTCTTTGATTAATTTTTCTCGTTTTTCAGTGTAATATTTATTTAATGATGATTTATCTCTATTGTCAGATAGATATTCTTCATCAAAGGTATCGATGTTTTCTTTGATAAATTCATCTAAATTTTCAGGAGTTAAGAATCCATCAATATCTATTTTGATTTCATCATATATTTCATTATTTTCATTTATTTTAGTTATTTTTTCTAATATTAATGTAGATATATTGTCAATTTGTTCGTTTGTTAGGATTTTATTTTTTGTTATATCATTATTTAAATCAGCTAAAATATTTTCGTTTTTTTCTGTTTTGATGTTATTGATATATTCTTCATTGATTTTATTCCTAAATTCTATTAGTTTGTTTTTTCTCAATTCTTGTATTTTAGATTATTGTGAAGGAGGAAAATATGAAAAAATAATCAATAATAATGAAATATTCAAAGAAAATATTCTTAAATTACACACACTACGAAAAAATATATGTAAAAAAATGAGAATTGGAATACGTAATAAAGAATCTTTTTTCACTGATTTCATAAAGGATAATAAAATTTCAGATTATTTAATGTATAAAGGATTCGTTTATAATTCTTTAAGAGATGAAAATATCTTGGATGAATTTTACAAAGATAAAGTTATCGATTTAGAAAAGAAACGTTTGAAAAGTTTAGAAGAATTACCAAATGTAGACTGGTTTAAATGGTGGAGACGTTTATTAAATAATCCTGATAATTTAAACATTATTGATAGCTATTGGATATTTAAAAAGGTTGAAGATTTGAATCCAAAAACAAATGACAAAAATTTTTACAAAATAGTAGCTTCCACATTTATTAAAAATCTGAAAAAATGCAATCAAGAACGTGAAAATGTATGTGTACCTGAAATACTTCAAATGATAGATAATAAAATCAACTGTCAATCATTAACTACAAAGGGATTGTATAATTCATTATTAAGAAATGAAAATTTCAATAATATAGTTGATCTTAACATAAATGAAATAAATGAAATACATTACCATATCGCGAAACAAAAAAAACAACTAGAAGATTATTGCTTAACCGAATTTATCATTGATGATTTTTCAACAAATGACAGATTTGAAAATTTTTTTAAACAAGGAATATACAAACCATTTTTTTGGGATTCATTACCATTATCAGAAGATAATAAAAAAATAATTAAAAATGAATGGATAAAAAATACAAATAGATTAATTAATTTAGAAGAAAAAACAGATATGAATGAATACATCGACAGATTATTAACTATATCTCAATCTTTAAAAAACGATCAATTATATTTTCCAGATTCTCCCAATCTATTCTCAGAAAATTTAAAACTTGAAAAGGATATATGTAAAAATTATATCAATGATGATGGTCCTATTAAAAAATTAATTCAATTATCAAATATATCAAAAGATGCTAAAGAAAAATTCAAAAACCGAAGATTAGAAATATTGCATGGTAAACCTATAGAACCTGAATCTAAACCTGAAACACCTAAACCAAAACCACCTCCAAAACAATCTGAAAAACCTGATGATTCTGAAGATATTTTATTCAACAAACTAAAAAAGGAAATAGAAGATATTGATGAAAATAATGCAGAAAAATTAACAGAATATGATGATTTGGAAGAAAAAATAAACGATTCAAAATTATCACTTGATAAAATCGAAAAATTACATAATCTAAGAAAAAACAGATTAACTAATCTCGTAAATGATAGAATCAAAAAATTTGAAAATAAAATTAGAATATCAAAAACTGAAAATGAATTAGATAATATATTTAATGAATTATTTAATGATAAAATATTACCACCTGAAGAAAAAGATAATATCTCAAAATTATATCAAGAAAAATTAACATCAATCAAAGAATCTGACAAATATAATGAATTTATTCGTGATATCAATAATTCATATACAGAAGATGAATTAAATCTTTTAAAAGATAAATTATCCTATGATCAAATATTGACACCTACACAAAAAGATGAAATCAAGAAAAATATAGATGATAAAATAGATGAAATTAAAAGAACTACACTTCAACCTGATCCTAATGAAAATATCCTTGTTGATGAATTAGAAAAAGATATAGAAAATATCGATAAAAACAATGCAGAAAAATTACTTGATGATAAAGATTTAGATAAAAAAATTAAAAGTTCAAAATTATCACCTCC